TCCCTCCCTCCCTCCCTCTCCATCTCCCCCTCTCACTCTCTCTTCTTTCTCTTTCTATTCTCTCTTTTCACTCTCCTCTATTCTCTTGTCTCCCCTCACTCACTCCCTCTCACCTTTGCTTCTCTTCTCTCCCTCCCACTCACTCCCTCTCACCTTCCTACCTCCCTCTCTCCATCTCTCCCTCTTCTTTCTCTCCTCTCTCTTTTATCTTTTCTCTCTCCTCTCTTCTCTTCTATCCCCTCACTCACTTCCCCTCACATTCGCTTCTCTTCTCTCCCTCCCACTCACACACTCTCACCTTTGCTTCTGCACCCACACTATTTCTCCTTCTCAATCATTCCCTCCCTCTCCCATTCCCTCTCCCTATCTCTCTTCTCTCTTTCACTCTGCTCTCTCACTCCTCACTCTTTCTCTCTCTCTCTATCACTCTCCGCTCCCTCAGTCTCGCTCTCTTTCTCTTCTCACTTTCACTCAGTAGTTTTCATTCTCGCTCTCTTTCTCTTCTCACTTTCACTCAGTAGTTTTCATTTATTTGGGTAAATTTTATTTCTTTCCTTATAATTACATCAAAATCAAAGCCCAAAAATGTAACAACCATAAGAAATACATTTCTTTCCCCAAAATTACTTCAAACCAAATAGATGCTAAAACTTTGTACTAAAAGGGATAATCATTTCACGTTCATTCTCTCCATTATTCAGCTTCGAAGGATAATCTGACATGTAGACTTCAACTGGCTTAGAGAAGTCAAGAATGATGCCGAGATAAAAAGAGAACCATCATTACCTCCAAGTATTTTTTGACTAGTGGTAAACCTAAGTAGAATCTTTAGCTTTCAAATACAATATATAGCTACCCGTTTTACCAAGCAAGAAGACTTAAAACAATAGTCAATAACAAGTCCAACGCTAATATTCATGGTATGCATCCAATGTCTGAAAAAATTTTTTAGAAGAAGAAAAATAATTGTATGACATCCTAGTTTTTGTCTGATAGCCTAAATAGATAATTTCTAGCAATGTTTCTTAAAGCATGAGAAGAGTATTAAGTAGGTGTGGCTCGGCAAAGCATAGTAGGCTCTAACTGATAAGTTTGAAAAAAATAGACATAAAAACATAAAAGATCTGACAACAAATGAAGTTAGGCTAAATATGATAAAAAGCAAGACCAATACCACTCTCATATTAAGTAATATGACACAAAAGTATCAAATTATATTGCCCCGCAACCATATGTATGCAATAAACCAGGGGCATGCTTATGAAAGAAAATGAACTTCGGAACAAAATTGTCCATAAAGTAAAGGTCTAACAGGCATGGATCTGACGAAGAGGTTAAATATTAAAGCTAAAATAATTCACGATTAGCTTTCATTTCAAAATTTAAATCTTAGCATGATGCAGTACTAAACTTCATTGAATTGAAGAATCTCAGGCGCTATTACAGAAAAAGCCAACAAGATAAGCAACTGCTTCAGCAATTTTTTGACAAGTAACGCAATAAAATACAAAAGATAGAAAAAAAGAAAAGAGCTGAGAGATTTATGAACAGTAAGGAATAACATTCTCACATTCAAACTAGCAGGGATAGTTGCTGCAGTGGTGGGTAAGCAACAAAATGTCAAACATTGAGGCTTCGTAATTCTCATAGAATTCTCTTTTTTTTTTTTTTTTGAATCATCACAGCACCACTTTTAAGCTTATAATCACTTCATCTGGTTAACGAATATATACTACATTCTTAAGTTCATGTATTTCTAGTGCTATATATTCATCCTTCCTTTTAGCGGTAACAATCTGGGTGATAAAAAACCTAAAGATCTAATCCATGAACTCTTGGAGCAACGCCCTCCTGATTCGTCATAATGAATAGTGTAGTTACTGCTACTAACTATTCTGAAGTAGCAGCCATCAGTGCTTTCAAACCTGTAATCTTGTTGGGTACTTGCCACACCGCTAGTTACCAGGTTTCCCTTCACATGCATAATACCCTCACCAGTCTGCAAATTCCTCAAAGTTCCAACAGAGAGGCCAGACTGCCCAACAAAGTACTTCCAGTCCCAATTGAATCCCAGCGTGACATTTACAATGGACAAGTAGCTATCATTAACCTGATTGGAAGTTCCCGTGTAAAGATATAAAGGAAAGCTCTGAAAAACATGCTCAGAGTACAAGACTGAAGATTGATTCTTTGTGTGTGTTCCATGATTATAGTATATGCTCTGGTTCACTTCCTGAATGCTCCCATTGCCCTCAAACTTCATCTTATTGCTATAATCAAAATTTTGAAAGAAATGGGTAGTGAAGTTTCCATAGGAGGACTTCAACCACCCAATTGCTGAAACCCTTCGATTTGCACTGGTGTCAAAAGTCCCATCGAGGCCCCTAAAATCAGAGATCAAGGAATAAGAAAACCCTGGAGCTTCATATTCAATCAAACTACCTTCAGTTGAATCACTCCTGCTGTCTAACCAAAGATGCAAGTTTGCATCAATAAACCAAACATCCAAAGCATCAGTGACCCCAAACTCAAAGGAATGCTTCTTTCCATCTAAAATATTTCCCAAAAATGGAGTGATTTCTATATCATATGAAGGTAGATCGAAAGAACCAATAGCTGAGATCGGTCTCCAAAGAAGAGGATTAATTCCTCCAGTGTAAATAACAGTAAATGGCCAGATAGCTCCGACTACATCGCTATCTAACCTCACCGTCACCTCCCTAAAGGGGCCATTCCCAGCAATTCCGGTAAGATTATTATCCGATATATAAGAATTCGGAGGGTTAGTGTACCAAAACTCATCGTTAGAATGAAACGAAACATATACCTCAATCAAACCTCTATAAGCGTTCCTTGGTACTGCAACCTCCTTCCCCTGTAAATCGCTTCCGTTCTGGATTTGAAACCACAACCCATCGTTCAATGGTAGGGTTTTGGAGATGGGAATGATTAGATCAGCGGGAGAATCAAACCCCGGCGAAGTACGGCTGTGGTGATCGAAGTAAAAGTGGAAGAAGACGTTGACGTGGTAGACGCCGGTGTATGTTTGGTCAACGATGTTGCCGAGATAGACGGCCAGGGTTTGGGGTTTTGAGAAAAGGGATGCATAGCGAGTGACGTCTTTACGGACGGACCAAGCGATTCCGGTGGGGCGAGGCTCAGCGGTGCAGCTACGGAGGAGCTCAACACCAGCGAGCCATAAGCCGAAAATGCGATCAAATTGACGGCCGGAACAGGATGCGGACCATTCGAGTATGATAACGGAGGGGGAGAGGTGAAACGGGCAGTGAGAGGGAGGGGAGTAGGTGGAGGTAACGGGGGGTGAGTTGTAGGTGTAGGCGAAGGAGTGTTGGAGGACTAGGGTTGAACAAGGCTTCGACTTGGGGGTGGGGATGGGTCGCCGGACTTCAAAGTAGGTTGTAGGAGATGGTGAATGGGTGGAATGGAAGACAGTGGAGAGATCGTCAGAGACGATGAGGTCGCCTCGGGGATACAGAGATGAGGGGTAAGAGGGAATGGGGAAGAAGATAACTAAGATGGAAACGATAGCGCGAACACATTTGTCCATTGGAGGAGAGTGAGCGCAAAAAAAAAAATTGGCCGGAATTCGTTCTAGGCTTCGGGAGGTAGGAGGGGTGGGAATATTGGAGAAAATGAAATATACATAAAATTATGGAGATATTTAAAATTATTTTTTTTAAGTTGAATTAAGATAGATTTTGAAAATCATGAGATAAATATGAAATTTTTATAACTATTACATTTTCTTTACTACATGTGAAATTAAAACTTTAATTGATCAATCTAATTAAATTTATTTTAAAATAAATTATGTGATTATAAAACAACTTTTCATCAAATTTGAATAAGAATATTCTAATCAATTTTTTCAAGGTTTTCTATAAATGTGAAGGAACATACATGCTTGGGCACAAGAAAATAACTCCATATAATATTAGAGGACAAATTAAAAATTCTAATTTATAGATTAAGTATAGTTTTTTTTTAGAAATATAAGTGATTTCAATAATTCTAAGAATTAGGAGTTAGATTGTTTGAGGGAATATTCTATGGTTAATGAAAGAATAAATGCACTTAAATATATAGTGAAAGAGCTTGCTTTTGGCATAACATGCCATGAAATGGTAAGAATAATATGTCTCTGTTCTTTAAATATTTAAAATTTAAAATTAATTAAATTTTTCTTTACTTTTAAAATATAGAAAGAATGGAATGATCAAAAGGTATATCATACATGATATATAGATATGCGATGTAAAAATTTATGTATTAGAGATATTAGAACAATGTGGCATGCCTTTTAAAAATAATATTCTTCCAGAAAAAATGAAAAAAATTTACACTTTTGAGAGGGGTCGAATTTAAAACTAGTTTACCTGATTTTTTAGGAAATTTTTTTTATGATTAATATGATTTTGAAGAAATAACTAATTAAATTTTAGAAATGGACTTATTCTAAATTAATATGTTTTGCTTTGACACATAAGCAAAAAAAGCTTGTGTAGACAACACAATGAGAATTTTTATATGCTATGAAGGAAACTTACCTCCTATGTAGGTGAACAAAACACTGATCAATATGATATTTTGTATTTTTTTTCTTGTTATGATGGGATAGAGACTGAAAGTTCGGGTTACATAATGGATAATATTTGCCTAACCATTGCAACTGTGTCCATATAAGATCAATGCCAGATAGTTGTAGCTTTTTGTAAAGGTGCTTCAAAAGATTTAATGGGCAAAATAACATTTGAGGAAGCTATAGTAAGAATCATAATTTTATTTTATTCAAAAAATCAGACTATAAATTTTTTTCACTCACAATACATTAAGATCTGATTGTGAAAAGTAACTTCTCAATATAAAAATTTCTAGAAAATTACAAGAAAAAAAAGTACTTAAATAGAGCCATGGTGGCTATCTAAAATGTAGAGTGAGCAGATAGCTACTCGAAACAAACTCATAATCTCCCATTTATTCAACACAATTTCTTTTCATTTATTATTGCAAAAAATTTTCATTTGATTTTCTTAAGCGTTCTATTCTCCATTTTGTTAGTCTAATCTACATTATTGTTAATCACAAAAAAAGTGCTTCGTACGCACCGGTGTTAACCCAAATATTTTATGAACCATGACAATGTCGTTATTTTCAGCTTCTACTAATGTATTTTTATGTGAAAATTTTTTCTTTTTTTTTATATATTATTTCATCACGTAAATTATTTATTTGATTAAGCCTATACTAGTTTATTATTTTAATGAAATTTGTAAGTAACTGTTTAAAAAGAAATTCATACAATACTTTATTATATGCATTGTATATGAATGTGGCTTTTGCTAGTTGCTTGAAACTAATTTTGTTTAAAAAAGACTAACATGAATAGAGTAATATAGAAAGTTTATTACAAGGTTACAAAAATTACTACTAAGAAAATAGTTTTAATAAAGATTTTAAAAAGTTTTAGCAATGGTTTAACATGCTGAGAAATGACTTGTAATGACTCTAAAACCACCATAATTCTTTGTTAGAATGCATGTTTATAGTGATTATAATTGACAGGAAATTGAATTCAAGATAATAAACTTTGGAGTGATTGTGAATGTTGTTAAGCTAAAGCAATTATTTTATCATCCCTATATATCATTGAATTTAGCCATTGTAATCATATGATATCACAATGTTCAAACTTGTTGCATTTCTCTAAATTCTAATTTTTGTGGTTGTTAAAATCACCAAAAATTTGAAATCAAGAATATAATAAAGACTATTTACTTATCATGCATATAAACTGATTATGGAATCAAACAATTCAAGGATGGAAAGCATTTTGTGCTTGTTGTGACAATGTGCTTCTTCACCGTCAATGGCATATGTCTTGTTACTCTGTCAAAAAAGTTAATTTTATTTATTTGCAAGTTATAAAATAACTTTATTGTATAATGTAGAAAATTATTTTACAATAAGAGCAATTTTTGTTCTTCACTGCTTAACTTCAATTGAGTCATTGATAAATGTATACATGTCTTTAACATATATTTTAGCTTTTATAGCTACATTATTTTTTTAATATGACAAGCTAAAAGTAATATGATCAATTAATTTGACCACATGATAAATATAAAAAGTTTGTAAACTTTTTGCAGCAATTTACCAAATAGGATTTTTTTCTTTCGACTTTTTCAAAATAATTTTCTAAAAACAATGAAAGTAATAATAATAAAAAAAAAGAAAAAAAACTTATAAGATTAAAGTGAATGATAATATGAGTGGTTAAAGAGACTAATTAACATGAACATGGAGAATATCTTCGATGATGGTAGGATAGATGGAGAAGATGATGGTTGAGATCTTGAATTTAGGTTTAGATTAAAAGTAAAATGATGACTCCATATGTCTAAATGATGTATGATGCATAAATAATTAAAATATCTTAAAGTTATTGTCATGCTTTAATTTTCTTAAGTGTGTTACAAAAGTTTTATTCTTGAATTAATCTTGATTTGTGAAAAAAATTAAGCGGTTAAATTCTCATTTTAAAGGAAAACAACAAAGTACATTAATTTCACAGATGAGTAAACCTAAGAAAATAGACCTTGGTGTATAATTTCTCAATAACAGTAGTACATAATACATTTTATGCTTAATCTAGTATATTGGCAATCTGGTACATTTTCATTTAATTAATCTTTTAAATATAATTTGGCTATCATAAGCCATTTCAAAGATCAACACTCTTTTATTTCCTACTTTTATAGTTTATAGATAAATATCTAGTTATTTTCAATTTATCTATAACCTTTTTAAAAATAGTTTTCAAAATTATCTTCAAAATTTTAATAATAAAATAATCAATCCTTATTTAAATAATTTATTTAATTCTTGGTGGCATAGTTCTGCCAACTCAGCTTGTTGTGCCATCATTCAAGATTTATATATTCACTAAATGTATCAACCATCATTTTTACAGGATAAAAAAACATATTTGAACCATACTAGAATTTGATTCATATGCATAGTAGATCATATCATGCACACATAATTCATAAACATTTATCGTCATATTTATTTTTTTGGCTTTGCTCTATATACTAAGATATAATTATTGAAAAAATCCATCGAATTAGTTTTTCCTTACGAATGAATCATATACAATTTTAAAGACCTCAAGAAGCATATACTTATATAAGGAAATGAGAATGTTAGTAAGAAAAATATTGTTTTAAATAATTTGTAACTTGATTTTTTATTTTTTTTTTTATTTTTTTTTATTATTCTTTTTTTGTAGGCTTAGTGTCATATAGTATTGATCCATATTAATCATCTTGAAGTTAGTAAGCTTGGGTATGCATCTCCATAAGCCTAAGTTCTTTTCCAAAAACTTTTATAAATAAATTCTTAAAAATAAAAAATTTGGAAAAAAATAAAAAATGTGCATATAATTTATGGCTTATTATTCTTATCTTATATTTAGTTTATAGAATTGATCTACTCGTTTAGAGAGTGTTAGCCTTGCTCCAATAGTTATAAATCCAATTTTGTCTATTCTACTCTCATATGTTTGTATTTAAGGCTCTCCTAAAATCTACATAGATCAACATAAACTTATTCACCAATTCATACGGGCTCTCTCCACTTCCTATGAACATGCATTAATACCATTTTTTTCTGAAAGAACAAAAGATTTCATTGATGAAGAAGTTAAAAATTTGGATGAGGCCCTCAGGTAAGGATGGTTAAAAGTATCACATGTAACAAAAAGTCTAATGAAGGAGGTGGAGAGTTTCAACCAAAAAAAAATCCCACCTTAATGAAGCATCAACCATAGCAAGCCAATCAACAGGTCTATTACCTTCTCTAAGGATGTGACTCCATTTGACATGAGAACCCTAAACCAAAGCAGAGATTTTCTTAATAGTGAAACTAATATTCCAAGGAATTGACTAGAAACCAATTAAGAACTTTCAAAATATAAGAGAGTATATTTCAATAAGTAGTTTAGACCTGCCAAAAATTTTTGAAACCTTGAGGGCAACAAGGAAAACTTCAGCATCAACCACTATGGTTGAACTAGCAGTTGAAAATTAAAAAATGATAGCCAAAAAAATTAGCACTATGATCTTTATAAACATCACCAATATTAACATTCTTTTTGAAGCCCTCATCAAAATCAACTGTCACCAATGGTTTATTTAGTTTCCTCCAATAGATCAACTCTGGGAAATGCTTACAGCTATTGTTATGAGTGGGCCAAGAAATATGTAGGTTACTAGCAATGTCATCCAAAAAATAGACATGACTTTAAAGAATTTATCAATCTTGAAGAGATAGGCAAGAATACTACAATTATGGAATTAGGATTCTCCAATTGAACTTCATATTTAATATTTTTTTCTACCTATCCACAAAAACTACCAAATTACACCTGGTAAGGAAATAATTATAGGGTTAAGATGGGTAGACCAGTTTAGCACAACCAACAACAGGTTCTGAAAATTATCATCAGGGACATGAAGTCCCTAGAGATTAGCAATCATTGTCCAAACCTGGGAAGCATATCCGCAAGAGAAGAAACAATGAGTGATGGGTTCCTCCTC